GTATTGACCTCAATATCCATTTTTATATTTACACATGTCCTGTCTCTGATACTGAGTACTTTTACCCGTAAATATAGCTTATCTTAAAAGTATATTTTTATTATTCATATATATATATATATACATATGGGACTGGTGCATATTACTCCTGAACCTCTCAACCAGGGGTCAAGACTGAATGGGGGCCCTTTTATATACATTACAAATTAAACTAAGCACAACTGACTATTAAAGGATGAAAAATGTTTGTGAATTTTGACATTATTGGTGGGTCTATATTTTTTGTACAAACCTGTGAATCTTGAAAAAAACACAATATAAAATTCACTATTTTTTATCCATAATGTCGAATGCGTTAAAATTATTCAGCTTTTTAACATGAAAAATCTCAAGATGATGCTAAAAATTACCATAAACATTGTTGAATTATTTAAGATGGAATGATCTACTATGACATGTCTCTAACTTGTATTAAGATACATTGTATTTATTGAAAATTTTTCAAGTTGAATTGTTCACCTATATTGCATATCATCCATTATTGTACATAATTAAATTATAATAAAATGTGCATTTTATATGAATACTACCTTATCAAAATAGAGATGTAGTAGAGTGGAGAGACATGTATCATGGATTGGTAGGGTCGCAAGACCTTTTTACCAGCCATATATATATATATATATATATATATATATGTGTGTGTGTGTGTGGATGGTTGGATGAATATATATATATATATATATATATGTGTGTGGATGGCTGGATGAATATATATATATATATATATATGTGTGTGTGTGGATGGATGGCTGGATGAATATATATATATATATATATATGTGTGTGCGTGTGGATGGCTGGATGAATATATATATATATATATATATATATATATGTGGATGGCTGGATGAATATATATCTATATATATATATATATATAAAAATATGTACGTATATATATATATATATGTGTATGTGTGTATATATATATATATATATATATATGTGTGTGTGTATGTGTGTATATATATATATATATATATATATATATGGTATTAAAACAGTGTTTGATGTATAACAACAGCGCTAAACAGTGAGGAACAAAATTTTGTTTATTATTAGCATATATATATATATATATATATATACATATATATTTGTAACTATTTTATGAGAACAATTAGCTGGTGTATTTTGCATGCCTGTTTTTGGAACTATGAATTTGTCTTTGTATATAATTGAAGTATGTTTATGTATTTTGTATATGTATAAAATATATTTTAAACTATACCTAGTAATAATATATTATGTGTGTTCAATCTAAATACATATTCTACCTTAAAAAGTAAGAAAAGTCTATATACTGATAGATCAGTACTTAAATATGTATATATGCATGTATATAGTTATTTAGACTTTTATTTTGTTTCAGGTTTTTATATAAGTTCATTTGAAATGGAAAGAACTGATATTGTATTATTATTTATGTGTAGAATGTCAAATGGAGGTGGTGGGGAGAGAAATTGGGAATAGGAAGATTGGATTGCAATTAACTTTAAAGTAGAGATAGTTTGCTTGTTTTAAAAATCAACATTAAAAATACTGTTTGTTTACAGGGTTTATATATATATATAAAGATATGAACATGCTGAAACCTCAAATGAAATAGAAGATATAAATGCTGAAACCATATCATGAAATAAGCTTTCTAACAAACATTTTCATAATTTGTATATACATAAGTAGAAACTCATATATTTAATAAATACTTTTGGTAATCCAATCAAGACTAAAATATATAATATGAATTCATACATACATAATATTTTGTATATATGAAACTTTCTTAAACAAGTACATCAGAAAACTGAAATTAAATTTGAAGTCTTGATGATTTTTGATCAAATGATTGTCAGAACCAAAAAAAAAAAAAAAAAATACAGTTGTGTTTGATATAAAAATTATTTTTGTGACATTTGAAGATGTTTCTTACATCATTTACCAGCCACTAAGAAAATAATATTCTGGCATCAAAATAGTGACCATTTCAAGCCAAAAATTAAGATAAATGAACAATTGCTTTGAACCAACAAATTCTTGTATCCATGTACACCAGCAGTGGTTTAGCAACTTAACATTTTTGCCAGACACAGTGAATTGCCAAAAAAAAAAAAAAAAAAAAAAATAATAATAATTCTGGCAAAGACTCTGTATATTAGAAGATAAGCATATCACAAACATATTTTGTATATATGGGCACCAATCTTTCTTTTATGCATGTGTTGTTGAATATGAAGGCTAAGTGTGTATAAGAATTGTTCCTATTGTTTATTGTCCTAAGTATTTTCAGCTAAAACTTAAGTAATCATCTGTGGGAGGGGATAATTTTCATGTTAACAAAGATTGTTAGTAGACAAAGCAAGACAAATATCCTGTATTGTGTGAGAGTAATAGTAATTTCATTCTAAGTGGAGATTTTGTTTAGTTTCCAGACACAACCCAGGCACTTTGACTCCTTTAAAAACAAGAAAGACAAAAAGCATTTGAATAAAAAAAATTGCTGGGACACAAGGAAAACTGAGAAAAAGAACTTGCAAAATATTTGTTGCCCGTCATATTTAATGAAACATATATCTGTAATATATATAAGACATATCTACCTTTTTGACATCCTTACATATTAATGCACATATGTGTTGTATACTTGTAAATGTATACAAAGGAACATGCATGTGTAAGCACAAATATAAACCCAACAGCAAGTGTGGGTGCAATGTACTGACGACAGATATTGACATAAAAGAAATCAGGAGACCCATAGATTTTGATTCATACTGAGTGTCCAACACTTAAGCCATCTTAATGTATGGCTTAGTAAATACTGATATTGTCAAAGAGTACACAAAGTGTACTGGGGAAGAATCTGCTTGTTGACAGATGTGTGTCCTACTGTAAATAAAGCAACAAATTCTTTGGCAAGAATATTTTTTTTATCTACATCATTCTAACAACTAGTACAGTACAATGTAATTCACAAAACTCTAATATCCTCTTGCCTCTAGTGATCTAATTTCACCTTATATATTTTTTAAAGAAATATAATTCAAATAAATAATGAAGATAATATTAACCTGCTTATTAAAACAATTTTTTTCACATTTAAATCGGTATTTTCCTAAGTTTTACTTATAATTTTATTTTTTTTTTATTTTAGCCCACAGCATTCTGATAAACTCTAAATTAATCTGTCACCTCCATAGATCTAATTTCTTCTCTCTCTCTCTCTTAAAAATGTTGAATAACAGCGTGGACTGGGTTCTGTGGCCTTGATTAGCAGCCAGTTTAAGAGAAGAATAACTACTATACTCCATTATCTTTCCAAAGAATGCATTGCAATTCACAGATAATAGAGAAAAGGAATCTGGGGATATGATCACTTATATCCTGAAGGGTCATGGTATTAAAAAAATCCGAAAAATAACAAAGATAATAGCTTGGTTATTAAACAATTTTTTTACTAATTTATTTTTTATTTTATAATAAAATATTTTCATTTATTTCTATTTTTTCTCTCAACTCTTGAAATTTTCAATCCACTCTAATTATTCAATATCCATTCAAAAATAAAACGTGATTAAAAAATAATTTGCTCGTATAATTTTTTAAATTAGATGTTAAAAAAATCATTTTTTTTTTTTTACATCGATATTCAAAACAACAAACACTTTGTCAAATTAATAATATTTTTACCTGCCTTCCAACGGATTATTCACTTTAAGTCCAAATTAATAAAAAAAAAAAAATTCTACACACTACTAATAATGACACTAAAAACACAAATCAAATATGTACAACGTACAAAAGAAAACTATTAAAAAAAAAAAAAAGAAGAATTAAAATTATATTGTCAGCCATATGGTGAAAACTAGAGAACATCAAGCTGAAAGCTCAGGTGTGAGGATTTTTTTCTGGATGTTTTGTGACACTGCCAAGCTTAACTAACACTGAGAATGGAAATCAAATAAAATGTGAAGATCGTGGTGCCTATGGTGGTTAAGTTTTCTAAACAACCCATTTTAAAACGTAGAGTAGTGTTTATGATAAAAACTTGACATGATGCATCTTCATTTCACATATGCATCAGACACATTCCTTTACTCACAATGCAAAACATTAATTAAAATTACGAGTTGATATTTGTCGAGCTGTTACTTTTTTGTTATTTTTGAGATAGATGTGTGTATCTGTTAGTAGTTAGTGATTTTTAGTGTTACTGTTATCTTTCTTTTTTTTTTTTTTTTACACAAATGAATCACTTTTTTTGTTTAAACGTGAAATCAACGTGCAGAAAATACACAAAGCACTTTCAGTTCCAAAGAATTTTCAGTATTTTAATTAAAAAATAATCTCATTTTTATCTTGTATGTCAACATTTCTTCATGGTCTTAAAAACAATGTTATTTCTTTTAATGAGAGTCAACACCTCATTCGTGAAAATGACCGACGAAAAATTACACATTTCTATTTTCTCAATTACGCAAAAAAAAAAAAAAAAATTCACATGACAAGAAGAAGGTGACTAGCGAATTGGAGGGGCACCGCTACAATATATTCCAGTTCGTTTTTATTTACTGTTTATTTTTGACGAGTAAATACATAAACAAGCATTGGTATTCCTACCCATCCTAATCAAAACTACACACACACACACACACTTTCATCAATATTGCAGTGTAAAACCAGCGCAATATTTTTTTTAACACAAGCGTTAGCAATACCACTACTTAGGCCCATGAAATACACGCACACAATCATACGGACTTCTTGGGTCAGTGATAGTTATAGAAGTGGAGGCCTAATGCTTCCAGGTAAGTGAAAAAAACTGAAAACCGTTATTTCAGCCACATATTCACCACGGGAATTAAAAATTAAATGAATAAAATTTTTACCTGCAAAAGTAAATATTAAGTACGTGGGATATTTTTTAATGACCATTTTTAGCGGGTATTCTCAAAAGTAGAAATACAAATCTTCTTTTCCATCAATGTGCGTATCAGATAGATAGATAGATAGATAGATAGATAGATAGATAGATATTTTCTGTCCATATTCTATTGGTAAAGAAAACTAAAAATAAAGAAATTCCACTCAGCCCTTCCCCTAGAAATGGTTGAACGTACACCTGAGAGGATAATTCCCTGATCACTACAATCTCTTCAAGTCAAGAGTCAACCGTTATCTATCCTACATATCCTCATAATATGCAACACTTGCTCCCTCTTTTAAAACATCCCCATATTTAGTAACCCACTACCTTAGGTGGCACTCAGGCCTTGGCATGGATGATAGAATTTTTAAAACTTTTTATTTGAGTTTCTTAACTTACTGTGTCAGTGTACTACTGTAGTCGTAGAGTGTAAGAAGCCAAGCGAGACGTGAAAGGGCAAAATGGGTTTAGCAGAAAACTAAAAAGAAACAGGAACTTTGTGCTTTTAGTTTATGACAAACTTTATCTAAGTTTTCAAAGTGGGGAGGGTCTGTCCGCTTTGAAATTATCAGCATTCAAAATCTAGTCTGGCTGTTACCTGGTCTCGAACACTGACCTCTGGTATTTATTTAAGCCACGATTGTTCTAAAAATCTAATCCACTTAACTTTTTGTCATCACACACTTTTTAAACTTGAATTATCTTTTCTTTTTTTTACCTTTTTTTTTTTATTATTCTTAAATTTTAAATAAATCGAAATTTTTTTCGCAACCTTAACTTCTGTGGAAATGAAATCGGAAGGAAGTCAAGTAAAATATAGCACGTGGAACAACCATTGCTGAAAAAACAAAAATAAACTGGGGGGAAGAAAGAATAAAATTTACTAAAACTGACAGCAACGTTGGCTGAACATGCTTTAGGGCTTCTTGTGTTTTCCTTTTCTTTTTTCTTTTTTAAGCCCACAAGCAAGAAAAAAAGCAATAGCAATCAAAACGGAACAGAAGCCAGAGAAATTGTTTCCATGGCTAATTTTGCTCTGGTTTCTCCCCACCACCACCTTTTTTTTCTTCCTGGTCACTTCATCGTTTCTTCTTACTCACCCCTCCTACCACGTCTGTACTTCTTTACTAACAATTACAAACCAACTTCTCTCCCCCACTCTGTCACATACACACACTTTTTCTGTTTATTTCTGTTTATTTCTATCTCTCTCTATCTTTTTTTTTTCTTCTGTAAATGTAAAAGAAAGAGAAAGAAAATAACAAGCAGAAGATAAAGGGCCATGAAAAACGAAAAATAAAATGGTTGCTGGTCGAAAAAGTTAAAAAAAAAAAGACAGAGGTAAAAAAGAGAGAAAAAAAAAGAACTATTATAAAATGACAGAGAGAAAAAGAGACATTTTTTTTTTATTTTTAGATGTTTCGTTTTCACCAATGACTGCATGAAACATTTTTTTAAAAAAATGTAACAGAAAAATAAATTACAAACTAGGAAAAGAGAAGAGGAATTATTCTGATACTATGAGTATTTCTCCTTATCATTTTTTTCTGATTTTTTTTTCTTTTTTAGATAGGATTTTTTAAAAATTGATGAAAAGAGAAAAATATTTGGGCTACATCTTTATTTTTCTGTTTTTTTTGTTTGTTTGTTTTTTTCACTATTTTTGGTATATTTAAATGTCTTTTTATCCAATCTAATCTTTGAAAATAAAAAAACAATAAAAAAAAGTGTGTGCGAGGATTAAAAAAAGAAAAATATTTTTTCTTTTCTTTTCTTTCATACCAATGTTAATTTGTTTTAACTTCAAATATCAAAATCAATGCTTTATTTAAAATGAAAAAAATGAACTGAGACAGGAACAGAATAAAGAAAAAAAAGGACGAGGAAAAAGAAAGGATGAAATAGAAGTTAAAAATAGAAAGAGAGAACAAAAAAAAATACTTAAAAAGAGTATGAAAAAATTATTTCTCATTCTCTTTCCATCATTACCCTGAATTTTTCATTTCTATCATTTCTTGAATAATCTGTCTTTCCTTAAAACTAGCTTAGAGAAAATAAATGAAAAGAAAGAATATATATATATATACCTCCTATCTCTTCCTCTATTTTATTTCTATTCAGAATTTCATTTTTCTTTGAATGAAAGAAGATAAATGTAAGAAATATTAAGAAAAGCAAAAAAAAAATTCTTTCTGATTTCCTATACACCTTTTATCTGTTCCTCTTTCTGTTTATTTTCAGTTACACATAAAGAAAAAAAGGTGACAGTAAACTAAAGAAGTTAACTTAAAACATAGAAAACAGAATTTAAAAAATAAAGAAAAAAAGCAAAATTAACATGGTTTTTAGAGTAAGCCACTTTCTATATATTTATCAATCTCCTATTTTCATTTTTCTCTCTTTTCCTCTTTATCATCATCTCTGCAAATGGAAGCATGTATAATATTAATAATAATAATGATGACGATGATGATAATAATAATAATAATAATGAATAGTGGGGGAATAAATGGAAAAAGAGAGAAAAATTATTGTTTTTGCTTCAGCAGCCCGGACAGCCAGATGACTAAGAGAAGTAATGGTCAAGCTGCAGAGGCCCAGGTAGCTTTAGATCACTCACTGCACCCTACCCAACCTCATTGCCACCAACACATATGCACACATATGCATCTACGCCTAACACCCTAATACACACATAATTGTTGTCCTTGGAGCAGAACGCACACACACTTTTATATATGTATATATATATATATATATATATATTTTATTTGTAACAAACTCATGACATGGCCAAGCACACACAGAGGGACAAGCAAACTCTTTTAAAGACGGACACACAAACACATATCTAATATTTCTTGCACCTTCTCCTACACTTCCTCATACTTCTCTTGATTTTATCACCCTCTCTTATATTTGTCATCTCTTTCCATTCCTCTTCATCAAGACTTTATACTCCCCCCCCTCCACCTTGTATCTTTCTTTTAGCAGTTTTCCTTTCTTTTTATTCATTCTCTAGCCTCTCTTTTTTATTTGGTTGCCTCTCGCACTCTTTCTGCCCACCTCTGCACATCTCAAAAGCAATGATAAAGGCAAGGAATGAGGGTGGGGCTTTTATAAAGACTAAGATTCGGCTTCAAAATGGACCATATTGCAAATTTGTTATTTTCATTGGCCATATACACTATATTCCCTATTTTTATTTTTATTTTCCATTCCGTAACTTTTCTACTTTTCATTCTCTTCCTTCCCTTCGATTCTTATCTTCATCAATATTTCCGTCTGTTTTCTTCTCTTTTTCTCTTTTAATTCAACCATGTTCTTGCCTTCCTTCTTTGATTTCAATTTCTTTCTTTTTCGTTTCCTTTTTAATTTTTTTTTTTTTTTCCTTTCATGTTTTTTTTTTTTTTTTTTGCTTCTCTGTCCTGTCCGGAAATATGTTATCGTACTTCAGAAAATATTGATTTATGCAAATATATTCGTGTAGAAGGGAGAAAATCTGTTTTGCAGTTAATGGTCAGTCTGAGATTGTTTGTCCAATTCGTGACAGAAATAAAACAGAAAAAAAGACAAATGAATAAATGGCGTTGAAAATGATGTTTTTTTTTTTTTTGTTTTTTTTATAGTTTCTTTTATATATATTTTTTTATTTTTGGTTCTTTTAATTGTGTTCTTTTTAGACAGTTTGGAGCCAAACACACTGCCTTCCTTGTTTCTTTCCGAGTTCACTTATGCCTATAAATATTTGAGCATTGTATTTCATTTCTTAAAACAAAAATTACATCATATTCCACAAGTTGTTTTTTAATTTATTTATTTTTTAAAGTTAGTGACATATAAAACAAACATAAATAACAAACCAAACATTTTAACATCAGTTTAGAAGAGTTAAAAAAAAACTAAATTTAAAAATATCCATATGGTTTAATTTTTTCTTATTTATCTTAAAAATTAGGAAACAATAAAAACGATTTTATTTCTCTCTCTCTCTATTTTTTCACACTTAGAGATTTATTTTGCTTTCTCACAGCAAAAAATAAACTTTAATCATTTAATTTTTTTAAGAAATAAAATTATAACAACTGATTACAACATACACAATTTTATTTATCCACTTCAAAATAAAAACTAACCACAATTCAAATAAAATATCATTTTTTAAGTTTTTGAATTAAAATGAGCATTTTTATTAGGATTGTCATTGATATGAATTATATTTTAAAGTGTAGTTTATATTATTTCAAGATTTGTATTTCTAAACACTAGTTTCTTTAAAATATTTATTTTTAGATAAAAGAAGACACTATTTTCAAATTTATTTAAAAAAAAAAAAAGCAGTATGCCTTTAAACTTTAGATTTCACATTTTATAGTTTTCAGAAAAAGGTTTCATTTGAATTCTGGTCACATATCAAATTTTTAAAAATTTTTATTAAAAAATCAAAATGTTTGTTTCAAGTGCACTCAGATTCCAAAATATTTTTGAAATTTTGTTTACATAGAAATAATAAAGATTTAATCTCAAAATATACAAAAATAAATTTCAAAAGGATTTTTGTTATTAAGCTTAGTTTAGTAAGATACAAGGCCACACATTTTAGAGCACTTAATTCACTATAGTAGCAATAAATTACAAGTCTAATTTGCTCCAAGCTCTCTGAAATTAATGCAATGTGAAACTAAGCAGATACAATAAGAATTTAAAATTGGTTTATTGATGCATTTTTCATGTAGATAATCATCACTCCAGTTCCCAACACTTACTTTCACCTGGCACAAGGCCATGCTTGTGAGGTACTGAGTGAGAATCAAGTTTACTATGTGAGCAAGTTGGTCTACATAGATGAGATTATTTTACTATTATGTTTTGATAGGTGACTGTTTATAAAGATTAATTAGTGCTAAAATTCTTTTATTTTCTATACAAAAATAAGCAAGAGACATGGTTTATAGTCAAAAATGATATTTATGAATAGATCATCTTTTGTATTCTTTCAGTTTTTTACCTTTGTTTCATGAATTCTAATTAAAACATTAAAATCAGAAAATCAAAAGTTATTATTCCATATAATAAAATTATTATATATTATTATGCTATTATTATAAGATATGAAAACTTCAG